GTGACTGATTTGTTGACATTTGAAACCGTCGCCCTTTAAAAAGAATGAACAAAAAAAACCGTTTGCTCCTAGAAACTGGGAGAGCCGATTCAGAACCGATACACGGAGGCAGAGGAGCGGCCAAAAGCTTTGGATGAGCTTGTAAGGCAAATCCATCAGTACACGAAAGTCGTCGAGGCTTATAAGGCCAAGGTAATCACTCATTAAGTCCAGTCACGTTTATTTATATAGCGTTTTATACAATACAGACTTTTTCAAAGCAGCTTCACATTAGCAAACCGTAAAATACGAGTAATAATATTGTTAAATTTAAACATTTAACTTCAGCTGTAAAGCAGCTCTACAGAAGACAAGTCATTTTTTTCAGCTCAAGATTTAGTTCATTTCAATAACCGTGTCAAAGTGTCAAAGTTAGCGCTTGTTTTGTTTTCATCCAATATGTCAGTGCAGTTGAATTGATAAAATTACTGAATATTAAAGGTAGGGTAAGGGATTTCGGAGAGGCTAGCAATAGCACGCTAGCTTTGAAAGCATAAAATCTCACCCTCCCTGCAAATCACTCTCCAAAGCCACGCCTCCTCTAAAACACAGGCAGCGACATGATGAGAGATGGTGTTGGTGGAGGATTGAATGCAACTCTCTTACGATGATTACGTCATGTCGCAAAAAATTACAATAATAACGGCTAGGGATGTAACGATTACCGGTTTGACGATAAATCGTGATAACATTCCCCACGGTTAGTATTACCGTTTCATCTTTTAATTATCATTAAAACCATATTAGATTACCGCGATTTGAACAACTCGCGATAAATGAATACTGTCCAGCATTAAGCACAGTTTTAAGTAACAGTCTCACGTGCGCACAGTATGCAGAGTAGTTTTGTTTTGAGTGAAAACAGGGCGGAAAAGCTGGGAGGTTTTAAAAGAGTGCTAAGGGAATTATACAAATTAATATATGACTGAATTAATTATATGAATGTAGGTTTTGACTGTCTTCAGAAATGATTTGATGGCATTTTGTTTTCATCTTCGCTCCATGTATTACCTAAAGGAAGTGTTCTTAATCACAATACTGCTTTGTCCACGGAGGTTACGGAAACAGCTCTAATTCAGTTTTTCCATAAGCGCCACCTGCTGTCAGCGAGTGGATTTACAGAGACCTATATTTGCATTCAGCCTGTATGCAGTTTCTGTCTGGCCAAAAACGGACCGAATTTGCATTCCCTGCTGTAAATTTTGACCGGTTGATTAAAAACAAGCTTATGTGAATTCTACACATTTAAACAATTCAGATAAGTTATCTAGAATTATTTATGATTAGATAAAATACATATAATCATTTATTAATCAATTATCATTTTGACTTTTATCTTTTATTTAAAGGCTGAAATGTGAGGTTTACCTTTTTATGACATTTTTTCAAAGCTTTATTTGAACATTTACATTAGATATTTCAACATGCTATTGAACTGTTGTCAGTCAAGTTGTCATTTAAAATCCGAACTTCATTGGTAATGTTATTGTTTTAGTGATTATGCAAACAAAAAGTCATTTTATTTGTTGTTTGTTGATTTTTTAAATATAAAACTTGATGAAGTGATTTATGTGTTGGTACTTTTTTAACATCTCCAGCACATTGTAACAATACCGTGATAATACAGATAACCGCGATAAGTTTGTTCACTATAATCGTGATAAGAAATTTTCATACCGTTACATCCCTAATAACGGCTTCGATTCTCGCTCGCTCTGCAGTAGCGTAATGGAAAGCGCTGATGATGTGTCATGTCTGCATGAACGGTGCGTGCAGGTTTGCAAATACATACACTGACAGGCAGGTGGGACAGCCTATCGTAGCCCTTGGACTGAGAGATATGATTGGACGAACATTTTATGTCCTATGACTTCCACAGACAATATAAATACATTTAGACCAGTTAAATTAGTGATTGCTGTCGGGATGTGAAGAGACTTTCAACCAGCATAACAAAAAATGTTTTTGAACCAAATCACCTTACCTTGCCTTTAAGTGTCTTTTAAACCCCATTAGTTTCTTTCATAGGGTAACATTGTTGAAAACATTTGGATGAATCACATTATTTGTTATCTCTAAACTCAGGATGAGCTGTATGATCATTTGGATGAGCTGGAGATGATGAAGGTGGAAAAGCAGGTGAATGAAACCATGACCTGGATGAACAACAAAAAGAATCTGCAGAGCAAACAGAGTCTCAGCCAGGACCCTGTGGTTAAAGCTCAAGAGATTCAGGCCAAAACAAAGGTACAAACTTCATTTAGTATTTTGGTTATCCATATGGCTCAAAATCAGCTAATGGGTACTTAAATGTAACAAATCATGTAAAAATGTATTATGTTTTATTGTAAAATGAAACCAAATTTGATAAAACTTTGAAGATAGTGAGAAGATACTGATCAAACTACATTTTATAAAAAAAAAAAGTCAAGTTCCAGAGATGTCAGCATATGAGAATCAAATTGGACAACTACATGGACTCATCTCATGATCACTCATTTAACAGTTCTAATCTATCGCCAAAATTATGAAAAATTATTGAAAATATTCAAATTAGGAATGTCATAATCATAGTCAGAATGTGTGGTTTGTACATAAAAACAAAAACTATGTATTAATAATGTAAATCCGTGAGTATTACGTACATTAAGGTCTCTGACAACAGCATGTTGAAGCCGCTCGGGCCGCTATTTTCTCCTTCTCAGAAAGATGGCGATGACGTAGTCAAAACATCTGGCAGTGTGGTTTTTCCAGGAAATGCATGTACTCGCTGGACCGCTTCTTGTAAATACTACTGTGTATTGTGCACATTATTTTTTGACAGACATTGATGTCATGATATTCAAATTTGTGGATTTGAAAACATATGGATCTTTAGGTAGTAATTATTATTTCTTAGCCAGCAGCATGTATTTAGTGAAGTGATTGATGCCTGTGAGTGTTATGTCCATGTTTTTAGTTCTAACATTCCAACCGGCAACCAGCCTAAAGCTGCGGTCACACTAGACGTCGAGCGTGCAAAATTTCTTCAGTCCTTTTAAAAACTTGTGCTGCAGAATTAAATTTCTGTTCTTTTAATTCAGCTACGAGGTCATGCTATGACGTATCAATCTGATACGAGTTCGCAGATCACAGTTCACCAAACTTGAACTTTGGAACACCGCAACTTCGCATGAGCTTGCTTTTCCGCTCTCCCGCATTTGCATGCGTATGATGGACGTGATAATGTGTGTAAGGGTTGAGAATATGTTTGATTTCTGGGTATTATAAAACACGTTGGAGATGTTCGAAATGCTTTTTGTGTAGCTCATTATACTTTTTTTACAGAAAGAAGCTAACTTCATGACTTCTCTGACATGTTTGGCTTGTCAAAAATGTTACGTTGTGTAACATTTACTGTTGCAAACTTGTTAACTTTTATAAATCAAGTTCATTTTTACTAGGTAAGGAGTGGTTTTGATGCACAAAGTTGTCTTTATTGTCTCTTGTAACACAAATCTTTTATTTAAACCCATGAAAATGCAGATCCTGCTGTAAATAATAGTGAAAAATCACTTTTTAAACCTGTTGTTTCAGTCCCCTTAGCAGGTTTTGACCCATGTATGTCCTCTTGAGAACTGAATCTTCTAACTATATCTTCATCATTACACAGGAGCTGTATTCTGCTTGCAATCATATCGTCACCATACCCAAGCCCAAAGTGGAGCCTCCAAGGGAGGAGACGGCAGCCGAACAGAATGGCCCTGTTAACGGACAGGAGGGTTCAGAGGCCCAAACGGGCATCCCAGAGAAGGGCCAAGCCGCCCCAGAAACCACAGAGGCCAAGCTTCCTGAAATGGACATCAACTAAGTTCGCTCGGCCCTCTTCTGCGTCTGCACCAGCCTCTTGTATGCCTCAGAGTTCAGATAAAAAAAAAAAAAAAAGAACTTAAATTTGGTGAAGCAGGCTGCCCAATTCAGTTCTCTTGCTGTCGGTGGCATGTTTCTTTCTGTTTTGCTGTTTAAAAACAGGATGCACAGAGATCCAATCTCCCTTCTTTTGTTTCTTCAAACAGGAAAAAACATGTTATAGATACAGGACGAGAACCTGGTCTTTGTTGCTTTTTTAATATCCACAGTTCCAGTATCCTGAAAAGAAGGCGGGACAGGATTATAAAGTGGGATGGACTGGTTTAGTGCTGTTTAGTGGGTGACATTTTTCTGTTCCGTTCTATGTGGAGAGTTTATTGGCATTGAAGATTTGTTGCACAGACCAACTTCTCAAGTGAAGTTTCTAACTACCAGATTTTAGTGAAGAAGCACTGAAACGGAGGAAACCTGAGCATTTTCCCGAAGCAGAGGCATGAGCTGCACTATGTCCGAGTAGAGTTGAGTTACTGTTAAGCAGTATTTGGTTGTAAAAGGTGCGTCGTCGCTTTTGGGTTTAGCCCTATTTGTTTGTTTGTTTTCCTTTTCTACTGTGCAGCCTGTGTGAATGGTGGAAACTAATTTGGTGTCCATTCCAGTCACAAATGATGAGAATTATGAGAATAAACCATTCATTTTGGTATACAGACAAAATAACTTATTGGAATGGATTGGAATGGATTTATTGGATGTACTGTACATACTGGTTTACTATTAGTGTAATTACAATGTCAGTTTAGTGAGGTGAAATAAAATCATCAGGAATTTTGACCATCACATGTGTCACCAAAAAAAAAAATCTGATTAAATGCATGAAATGTAATCAGGTGTATAAATTATAAAACTGAAATAAGTTCAATACTCAGTGCAAAAGTATGCATCATAAGCAGTCAAATTGGTGAGGCTGATTAGGCATGATATTTTATGATATATGTTAACTTCCTCAGAGATATTTCAAGTAAATATTTTATTTTAAGGGGTTTGGCTGACAAAAATGTTTTGGGAATCCCTGCATTACATGAGCAAACATTCATAAACATGAAAACAGCAGTGACATTACATGAGCCCAAAGTCTTCCAGCTCTGAAATATTTCAGTCCTGCAGAATCAAAAGTTATTGAAGGTCTCTGGATATGATGACAACATTGTGTTTCACAGCTACATCACCAGTGTTTAGTAACTCAAGCACAATTATTTGTTTCAATTACTGGTTTGCAAATTTATTCACATGACATTTGTAAGCATTTCAGTTTATATTATATAATTATTTAATGGGCTAATACAGAAGAAAGAAGGTTTCCCAGCTCTATTATCATTTTATGGCAGCTAAGCGCTTTATTACCTCACGGCTTAATATGTATTAGGACCACTGATCTATAATATGTAACATATATAGATCAGTGATTAGGACTGATCAATTATACTAACGTTGCCTGGTAACGTTCCTCGAGCGCTCAGCTATTAATGTGTGGACCACGCCCACTTTAACGACCGCAACAGTTAAAGATCGGGTTTGTGCGCTTGTAGTATAGTTTCTCAAGTATGATTGTTAGGAAAGCGTCAAGTGGAAAAAACACCGGGCGCAACGTGACGCCAATGAGAGCTGCGTCCTACAGTATGAAGCGTTTCACATCTAATTCTGCGCTAATTATCGACACGTTATAACTTGTCATTTTTTAACTCCTAGATTTTCAAAGGCATGGGGCTAAACGCAGCGCTCAACGAGGTCGCCAGCTTTCTAAGTTAAAAGCATATGGATGCAACAAAGACAGGTTTGATTTCTGCCAAATACGGCAAAGTTATTCCTGTCACCGGTGAATGAATCATGAATATTAATGAAGAGAAATCTGTGAGCTTTAGGATTGTTGCTGCGTCCCAGTTTGCCTACTTATTCTACGCCTTAAAAGTATGTTGTTGTTTTTAATTTAGAAAACGTAGATACTTTGAGTTTGTAGTAGAAAAGTAGATAAACCTTGGGACAAACTGCGCTCTCTCGCATAGTTACGTCTATTCTATCACCGTAAACCGGCCTGTCACGGTTACCGTCCTCATATACAGTGTTGGGGGTAACGCATTACAAGTAACGCGAGTTACGTAATCAGATTACTTTTTTTCAAGTAACTAGTATTTACAAGAGAATATCTGAGTATTAGTTTTTTTTGGAGTGGAGTAATGCAATATTGTAATACTTTTAAAAGTAACTTTCCCCAACACTGCTCATATATACACTCCATGTTTTATTTAAGTATATTTGCGCTTCTCAAACAATTTTGATCTGCCAGTTTCATGCAATGAACCCTGCTCCTGTTTTTGCATAATGATCTGATTTGTTATCGTCTTTCTAAAAGTCAACAGTGTTGTTGCCAGTGTTGGGAAGGTTACTTTGGAAATGTAATAGGTTACAGATGACAAATTACCCTGTTTAAAATGTAATAAGTAGTGTAACTACTCCAATCACTTTATTAACATTGCAGTAGTACTCAACACTAATTACTATCAGACTTTCAAAATCCTTCATGACTTGAATTAAGATGATAAACATTTAATTTTAAAGCACAGCCACCACAAAATCCGACTTTAGCACCGCTTTTTACTTTGAGATCGTTGTGAGGTTAAATACAGATTTAAATTCATAACAAGATATAGTTTAATGGCTATGATGCTGTTTTTGAAATCAAATCTTTGCATAGTTACGACAGGAAACCCTGGCATCTAACAATGCCTTGGGGAAGAAAAGTTAACCTTAAAAAATAAAGCATATACATAAACCCAAATAGGAAATAAAACGGTTATCGAATAAGCATGTGGCCTATTCTGTGTCCTGAAACATTGGTGTCTCATATTTTAAAGCAGTCAATGCAATTAGGGAAAGAAATCAATTAAATCTGTGTGTGTGAAAATATTCAGATGTACAACATTTGCCATGTTATCATTACATGTGACCTACCAGCCTCAGTTGTGTCACTTCACTGCCATTCACAAATCCTCTCCTGTGGCCTCATGGGATAGTAAAGTGTCCATCACATGCACACTTCACAATCTCACTGAAAGAAATAGGTCATCCGGGAATGTTTTGCCTACTGTTTTAATGCATACTGTAAATTCGGACACATTTATTTTGTCGCATATTGTTTTTGTTTACTTACTATATAGTAGGGAAATAATGTGATTTTGGGTGCAGCCTCATTCAAATCTCGCATACACGTGGAATGTTATCATGCAACGCAGCATGAACTACTTAATATTCATGAGCTAAACCTTCACTGGCATGGTGGAAGATGGTTATGAGCATCATGTTTGCTACTAAAGCGATAAATGTGTTTCTTTATTCTGCGAATTTCAGTTCCAGAGCTATAAAGGCAGGTGGAAGATGTCTGAATGGCCAGTCATTGATTTCAGGATGCAGGAGAGGTCATGCTGAGGTACGAGCGCTCTGATATCACTGCTGAGCTCTAACAAGGAGTTTGTGTGAATGAGTCTAAAATCTGCAGGCTGTACGAGTCAGACTGGGTCTGCAGACAGCCATATGGTGTCTAGTAGTGTAACAACTCTCATCTGCTCTCAGCAGGGCATGTCGACTCCCAGCGCCTCCAAGGACTTCAGCCAGGACTCCACAAGTTGGTTTTGAAGCTCCCTGTTCAATGCTTTGAGTGGTTATATTTCCTCACAGACCTATGCAGATCTGTTCTCTGTTCTTGACCAGGTCTCACGATGCCCTCTGGTGTTTCCAGCTTCTTGTTGGATTGCTTGGATGTTGATTCTCCAGCTTCAAACACGGACTCGACGCTTTCATCCATCGAGGAGTTTCGCAAAACTGACAATTATGGTATAATTAGTTTTAGAACTCTGATTAAAAGAAGATTAGTTCAGCCAAAAATGTATGTCAGTGTCTCGGAACAAATCATTAGATGCAATATTTGACGTTCTAGTGCTTTCAGTGAACATTACTGTTTGGGTATCTCTCATGACACTCAGATGAGGGGACGGCCTTACTTGGTGAAGATGGGATGATGAACACAGTGAAAAACTCAACTCTTCTAGATCACAGCCATGCGCAGGAGTTAGCGCTGCAGCAGCCTCCAAATCTCTCCTCCATTCTCGGTATGTCATGGCTGTTTATCATTCATAGCTGCTATTAATGCAGTGACTGCTGATGCATTTCACACAATTGTTTTAGAGCCGTGTTGTCAATATGAAAGGCTGTTTGACATTTATTTTATGCAGAACTATCATTAAACCCTGCTGAAGAGAAATCGTTTTCTTTGTCACCTATTTGGTAAGGCCTTTATACATGCATATATACACAGACTATTCAAATTATATGTATACTGTTAGGGGTGTGTGTGTGTGTATGTATATATATATATATATATATATATATATGAGAGAGTACTTGTCAAAAGTTTGGAAACATGATTTTTAAAAGTTTTTAATGAAGTCTCTTCTGCTCATCAAGGCTGCATTTATTTGATTAAAAATACAGTAAAAACAGTAATATTACGAAATATTATTACAATTTAAAATAACTGCTTTCTATTTAAATTAATTTTAAAATGTAATGTATTCCTATGATGACAGCTACATTTACTTCAGTCTTCAGGGTCACAAGATTCTTCAGAAATCATTCTAATATTTTGATTTGCCAATCAAGAAACATTTCTTCTTATTTTTTAAATAAATTTGATGATGAATAGAAAGTTCAAAAGAACAGTATTCATTTTAAATAGAAACCTTTTGCAACATTATAAATGTCTTTACTGTCATTTTGATCAATTGAATGCATTCATGCTTAATAAAATAATTAATTTATTTTTTTTCAAAAAAATCTCACTGACCCCAAACATTTGAATTGTTTATATTTAAAATTAATATAATCTATTCTATATTTAATTACTACTCCATATAATAAGGTATGATTTGTGTGTATAAAAAAGGTGTTATTTACCTAAAGGGCCTTGTGTTTGAGCAGGTTTTGCTTAGTCTTGCAGCCAACGTACTCTCCTCAGTTTTTCATTAACAAGATTGAGTGTGAAGCACAAGAGCAGG